CCATTATGCAAAACTATTAAGATTAATTACACACAGAATTCGTACCTGAAGAAGAATATAGGCCGGCTGCTCCATTTGCAGCATTGTGTACAGCAGCTGTATCGCCTGAGCAATGACTTTGACAACGTACTGGAGAATCTTTGGGCCAACTGCAAAGGGACAGACAGCCTGTGAGGACACTCCAGCGCTGCAAACAGATGTGTGTGCCGTGCAGAACGAGCTTTTGGGAAGCTTTAAAGCAATGGCACTTCGTAAAAACAGAAACCCGATGTCACAGAAACACCACCCCCAAGTCCCCATTCTGCTTTTTATCTAGAGAAAAAATCAAGTACCCGCAGATGAACACACACATAAAACCGTGACCAAAACATAAACCCGACGACCCCCGGGGCCGGTTTTTGCCCCCCCCTTTCTCCCTCCTCGCCCCCGGCCCGCACCCACCTCGCAGCCACCGCAGGTCGGAGAGCGGCACGACGCGGATGCGGTCGCTGCCCAGCACATCGCCGTGCGGCCGGGTCTCTGCAGCAAAGGACGGAGGGTGGGTGAGAGCCGCGACCCCGCCGGCAGCACCCCCCGAGCCCCCTGAGCCCCCCGCCCGCCCCGACTCACGGAGGTAGCCCAGCAGCGAGACGCCGCGGCCGTGCCGGGCCAGCGAGAGCGCGTGGTACTGCATCCGCGGGCTGCGGCCCAGGTCGCCCAGCACGGCCACGCACACCCGGCCCTCACCGCCGCCACCCGCCCGCCGCCACCGCCACCACAGCGCCGCGGCCACCGCCAGCACCAGCGCGGCCCCGATGGCAGCCACCGCCCCGCCGCCCGCCGCCATCTTGAGGCCCCGCGGAGCGGGCAGCGCCCCCGGGCGGTGCGGAGGGCGAGGGCTGAGGGGGGGCGCCCGGGTCCGCCTCACGGCACGAGGCGGAGGCCAACGGGGTGATTTCTAGGTTAACTTATTAATAATTTATCAATAAATTATTATTTATTTATAAATAAAATAATAATAAATTGTATTTATTTATTTATTTATTTATTTTAATGGATTAAAAATTCAGCACGGCTTAGTGCCAGGTCCTGCACTTTGGCCACAGCAACCCCATGCAGCGCTGCAGGCTGGGGGCAGAGTGTCTGGAAAGCTGTGTCAGAGGAAAAAGATCCGGGGGTGTTGGTTGATGCTTACCTGAACATGAGCCGGCAGTGTGCCCAGGTGGCCAAGAAAGCCAACGTTACCCTGGCTGTGTCAGGAGTAGTGCAGCCAGCAGGGCCAGGGAGGTGATTGTCCCCTTGGGCTCTGCTCCTCTGAGGCCACACCCTGAGTGCGCTGTTCAGTTCTGGGCCCTTCACTACAAGGAGGCATTGAGGCCCCAGAGCGTGTCCAGAGAAGGACTACGAAGCTGGGGAAGGGCCTGGGACACAAGTCCTGCAAGGAGCGGCTGAGGGAACTGGGGGTGTTTGGTCTGGGGATGGGGAGGCTCAGGGGAGACCTCATTGCTCTCTGCAACTGCCTGAAAGGGAGGTGTGGGGAGCTGGGGGTCGGCCTCTGCTCACAGATAACCAGTGACAGGACCAGAGGGAATGGGCTCAAGTTGCACCAGGGGAGGTTCGGGTTGGAAATGAGGAGACATTTCTGCTCAGAAAGAGCAGTCAGGCATTGGGATGGGTTGCCCAGGGAGGTGGGGGAGTCACCGTCCCTGGGGGTGTTCAGGGAAAGGTTGGACATGGTGCTTGGAGACATGGTTCAGTGGGTGATGGTGGTAGGGGACGGTTGGACCAGATCATCTTGGAGGGGTTTTCCAACCTTTACAATTCTGTGATTCATCCAAGCGTGCCCACTTGGTGTCCGCAGGTGTCCTCATTTAATGAGAACAGGAGCAGCTCCTTGGTTTTCTGTCCCAGCGCTGTGTGTGTTCTGTCACACTTCTCCTCCATCCGGAGCAGTGTCGTCAGGTGTGGGGAACCAGCAGCACTGCAGCTCTCCTGAGGGCAGCCTGGGTCCCAGCTACCTGCAGGCCACACCACCCACAGCCTTCTGATGGCCACTTTACACCATCCCTCTGAAATAAATTATTTTCCAAAACATAATTAAAAAACAAATTTTGCTTAGAAACCTGGTGAACTTGGATAATTTGCTTCATTTGACATATGTAATATCTTGTGAAACACCACAGAGTTAGCACAGCGTTTCCTTCATCTCTATCAAAAGACTAACCCTAGGTATGTGATAAACGCATTTAATGTATTTACTGCTTAGGGCTCATAGCAGGCGGTAACATACAGTGAAGCCCTTCATTTCCAGACATGCAGACTCCTCTTTCCACCCTTATCCCAGGTGTAGTGGCAAATAAAGGCCTTGGTGGGCTGCTCACTGCCTCGCACGGAGCAGAGGTGACGGCAGGCAGCCCGTATCTCACCGTGCCCTTCAGCAGTCTGACCACCGCAGTGGACGCAGCGCACATGCACACAGCCTTGCTGTGAAAGTGCTCTAAATAAATGATTTCTCAGCACTTTCTTCAAGAACGCTGTGCACACTTCAAAAGTTGTATTTTTTAATTGCAGATGGACAGTCTTTTACCTCCCCTTACCTCTACGCATGACCAAGAGCTCCCTCTTCTGATGGCAGCTACACCAATTTTACCGAAGCCAAGGAGGAAACACTGGATTTGATCTGCTGAGTTGTACTGCCAAGTGTGGTGGCTGACGTTTAAAGGCACAAGACATTTGCTAGCATTGAAGATGACAGTCAAGCTTTCTGTGAGAACACAGCGGCGTACCTGTGGTTAAACCGTTAAGGGAAAGTTTCCATTACACACAGCAGGACCTGCTGTGAGCAAGGGGTATTGATTTAGAAGTTACACAACCTCTTTGAGCAGAGTAGATATGCTGCATACTTTCTTCTTGCTGATTTTTCTCTCCAAGGCCAGCTTCTTGAAAACTGAGCCTAATGTGAGGAGCTCTGTCATTTCTGCCCTCGAGAAAGTGACTGTCTTCATGGAGAGTCGGTATCAGGACATCAATTTAGATGCAGTGCTGGGATTTCATGTTTTGCAAGGTATTGTGACACAGTCTGGCTTTTTTTTTTTTTTAGGAACTAAGCTGATACCAGCTTTCTTGACTTTAGTCTTTACATTACGCAGATTTGACTGCTAGTAGCATGATATATCTATATCACTTTCTAAATTCTTTTTTTTAACCCTGTTTTAAAGGTTCAGCTCCTTAAATGCACTAACAGTAGTAGTGATCCAGCTGTTATTTTCACCAAAAGTACGCCTTAGAAGGAAACCTTGATTCTTCTTGTTTTTAAGAAGACTCACCTGGGTTACCTCTGGCTTGGGAGGAATGCAATAAGCTGTAAGAAGAATATTTAAAACTATTTGTTAATACTTGACATTATATTCCCCTGTGGGATACAAACCAATTTGGATAAGAGTTGCCTCTACACACAAATTTTAGGGCCATTCCCTAGTTTGGGATCAGAAGTTGGTGTTCTCAGCATCCACCTGCTTTGACACCTGCCTTACCCAAAGTGTGGGTGCAGCAGAGAAGGCAAAAGCAGTCCCTAAGCCACATCCACATTTTCCGATGCACTGGAGGAATTTGGAGGTAGGTGATAACCTGGCTACGTGGCTACTTTATCTCTGCGTGAATTCCAGTCACCTCCAGAAGGGGTCAAGATCTGATCTTTGGATTAGATATTCTTCTTCATAAAGCAGACAGGAAAGGTAGTTACATGCTATCACAAACGTAAATTTGGAGTGCAAACAGACCCACAGCCAGACAGCCATAGAAGTTAAAGGGCTAACAGAATGTACCACCGACTCGCTGTAAACAGTCTGCCAAACTCACAGAAGCACAAAGGGCAGGAAGCACATGTAACAAGAACAATAATTATCTGCCACCTTGTATCTCATTAAACAGTCTTTGCCTGTAGAAGTGTGAGCAATCCCTTGGGCAATACAGAGGGCTTTTTTGACATTTGAGAAGTCTGTCTCTTTTTTTTTTTTTTTTTTCTCATTTTCTCCATATGGATGCTATCCATTTCACAGAACAGTTGAGATTGGAAGAGACCTCTGGAGGTCACCTTCCCAAATCCCTGCTAAAGCAGGGCCACCTACAGCAGGTTGCCCAGGACCATGTCCAGGGCTTTTTAAGTACATCTCTGGGAACCTGGTTTTGTCCTCTGTGCACCCTCCCTTCAGATAACTGTACACGTGGAAGAGCCACCCCCTCCCCAGCCTTCTTTTCTCTGGGCTCTACTGTTCCTTCTGTGTCAGAACAGTTTGAACATTGCTGGAACATCTCTGGGGTAGCAGCCATTCTTCAAAGGAAGAAAAAAAAAAAAAGAGGAGGGCTATAGGAGAGCCTGACTATCTCTGCAACATCTTAATATACTCTCTTATAGAGAACACATTGAACATATTTCATAGCTTTCTTTTCTTCCTTGTTTCTTCATATATCAAATAATAGTCTGGCTTCTAATTGCAGTAGCATAATGCTCTGCAGTAAGATACCTACTAACCACACCAGAAGAGACACTACTTAGGTAAAATAAAATCTAGTACATTGGATTACTTAATAGGTTCCAGGGTAAATCTTGTTTTAAAAAATGTTGGCTGTGAGGAGAATGGCTGTCACCAGGGGAAGCTGCAAAACTATTTAAAAAGGAAGGGGAAAAAAAAAAAAAAAAAGAGTGGACAGAGAATTTATGGTAGTATACAAAATAAATTTTTGTTTCTGCAGGCTATTTGAAAGGAGCCCTAGAAAAGTGGCCTTCAGAACATGAATTACTTGCCCAGCGTGCCCAAGTTGAAAGTGTGGTGAAGAAGTTGTCTCCTCTGATTGAAAAAGCAATGTATTCTCTAGAGCAGAATGATCCCAAATATTTCAAAGGTAAAAATAACAAGTATGGATGGCACTGAATAAAAATAGTTCTCATTCAAGCTCAAGGTATTCATATTGCAGTGTTTTGCCTTTATGCAGTGACCTATGAAACAACAAAGATGCCAGAGTTAATGAAAAGAAAGAGTTTACTTAGAGTTTGGTATCCATCCTGAGAGTACTTAGAAAGAAATGGCTAGTGAGCCCAAATGGAAACACAAATACTAATTCTTGGAAGTCTGCTGCTGATTTTTTGGGTGGCCTGGAGAAAAGCACTAAAGGCAGGTCTGCACAGTAGGGATATTCAGCTCTGAAAGCTATAGAAAGGCAATGTGCAGATGCATGCAAAGGTACCTTTGGGTGTAGACAGACTGAAGAAATCAGGCAGGGCCCGAGATCTCCTTTGACTATACCACTAATTACAGGCTCTCTTCTTTGATTTGCTTTCAGAATTTGCACCAATTTTAGGACCACATTTCTGGGTCTTTCCCCATTCATGGAACCAAACGGATACCTTGCTGGCCTATACTTCATTTGGTAGTTCCAAGTGTTTTACAGAGAAAACAAGTGACACGTGCTATACGTATTTGCTAGGAACGTGGTATGTTTCTGTGGTATTGCTGGATCCTTTCTTACAGCCACTGTTTTATAAGACTTCTCTGTTGTCTGCTGGCAAGCAGGACATGAGAGTTACTGTGCCCTGCAATTGTACAGATCAGGAATAGGCCTTCCTTTAGCAGACTCTCCAACTCCATCTGTGTTGCTATTCTTAAACAGGAAAGAGAATGGCAAGTCCTGCGTTGTCACAAGCACCTGTAGGAACATAATGACAAAACTCGGTTGCTCAGGTTACTCCTTGTCCCATCAGCTTTTCTACTTCATGTTTGCTGATATGGTAAGTGAAAAGCTTTATCATACAAGATTTATTAACCATGACAGTCAATATTATACATGGAAAAGAAAGCAATACGACAGAGTAGATTGTGTGATGTGATGTTAGAGATAACAAGGAGGAACAGTAAAGTTTTGCTAAAGGCGCTTTCTCAATACCTGTATTAGGTAAGTATCTGAGTACAAATCTTGTGGTTTGGTTTTCAAAGGTAAGCAAAGTTCAAAGACTATTTACTTGCCCTCATCTAGAAGTAAAGAGGAAAGACAGAAGTGGCAGTACTTCAAAGAAGGCCAATATTTTCTCTATGGCACTATAATCAAATTCTCCTGAAGGGTACAGGAGCTTGTGAGAGGTAAAGAAATTCTTGGTGGAGGTAAACCTGTAATCTTGTGAGAACTGGGTGAGTGAAGGCAGTGTAGGGAAATTTGGGCAGTGGTGTGCCTGGGAACAAATATGGAGGAAGGTGGAAGGCTCCGCAAGAACTAGCTTGTTGCCCTTTGTCTTGGAGGCAACTGATCATTCCAATGGATTTGAACATACTGGGAAAGCACTTCAGTTGTGACAGAGAAAGTTATGATTCTGCCAAGTGTCCATCAAGGGAGACAAACCAGGAACTTAGAAATTACCTTTTCTGACTGAAAACAGGTTGGAGTAAAAGAGAAAGAAGCAGCAGAAGGGGCTGCATTGAAAGAAAGATGAAGAAAGATAGAATTGAGGGATGAGAGGTTTCTCCGAACACAATTTCTAAACCTAATTTAGACAGAGCAAAGGCTCTGTGTTTTTTTGATTCCACTCACAAATACCCTGAACCTTAGCAATATACCTAAAACACCTAGGAACATATTTATGATTTCATTGGTCACGTTTTCCCCAACTTCTCAACTTGTTTGTAAGGCCACTCCTTTCCCTCCTGATTAACACCAGTATTTCATGTATGTGCCTCATCACAAATCTGCAGAACAGACATTCCAGCTGCAAAGGAAAACACGTACCTTATTCATGCAACATGTTACAAGTACCATGCTACTGGTGACTGGTACCTAACTTGTGCTTAGCCACCAGGCACTATGTCTATTGGGACAACTCTACTGAGAGATAACCAAACAAGCTGTTTGAAAATACTATTTCACAACTTATTAGCCTTGATACAGATTGGCGATGAGGGTCCCTACCTGCTGTGTAGGTACCATATAATGATATTCTTTTCCATTCACTCAAGGTTGGACATTCACTCAAAGCGGGACACATTATGCTGTAAGGATCCTATAGTCCATGAGATGCATCCTGCTAAAAAAAATAACATTTGAGTTGTCACAAAATATTTGAATCCAGTATAAGATTTCCAATTGCAGTTCACAACTCTTAGAGCCTCTCTTCCCGAATCCAATTTAGAGGGGGAAAAAAAAAAAATGTAGCACAATAGTCAATTTTTTTCTGTATCTAGAAAGGATGCTCTGATCATCTGTTCCTGACGAGCCAGTATTACAAGAATATTTTCTGTGCTAGCATGATGAAAATAAACTTGCAGATCGAAAGCAATGGATTTGAGTCTTCTTCTCGAGACCTCTTCATGGAAAACAGTACGTAATCTCTTCTCAGTTAACCAACAATGCTGTAAATGTTATTGTGAAATAAAGAAAGCTAAGCTTTTTCTTCAGTAGCAATGAATCATCTAAGAAAACTGAAGAAAGATTTGGGACATTAATCAGTTATACAACATTTAAAACTTCAGCCTCAAATGTTTATCTTTAATTTTACAAGCTAAATTTTTATCCAAAATTAAGATGTATAAAGTTTATAGTTTAGTTACCTTAACTATACTTTAATGGACACTATTTCCAAACTTGGAGTTTATTTGCCTAACTCTGTTGTTAACGATGATTTTTAGCATTAAGGTGGCATGATTTTAATTAAGCTTTATGGGCATGTTTCTTGCTGGAGATCAAGCATGTGAAACCATAATGACAAAAACAGCTGTGGTTTTCTGTGCCATTTAATTTCCCCTAGTTATGCTCTGTGGCATGTCTGGCTTCTCTGACTTCTACAAACTCAGATGGCTGGAGAAGATTCTCGCTTGGCAGAAGCCTAAGGAGGGATGCTTTGGGGAACCCAGTGAGTAAGCCTGACCCTACAGGAGGGAGGTGTTGTGGTGCCATGCCTCAGTGTGTAAGATGTGCATGGCCAATTGAAGAGCTCTGTTATAGTAGTTCTCTAAGGTCTTAATGACAGCTCAAAGGGTGCCCCTTTCCCCCCCGCCTCCACTGGAAGCAGAACAATTATTAGTGTTTTTCCCATGTACAAAATCTTTCACAAATGCTACATGGGCTTCAGCACAAAGAATGTGCCTGGACATGTAGTTTGCCAGAACAGTCGATCTGTAACACATTTCCTCAATGGAAGACTGTTTGGTGAGCTGTAAGGTAAAGCCAGTGCCTCTGCTTCACGAAAACAGAAACCTCAGAAACAGAAGTGTTAAGAAGTCTTCTTCACTGCGAATGACAGTGTTCTCAGCATTGAAGGGCAATCCATTTCCCTGTATTTCTTTTTAAAAAATAAACAAAAAAAAACAACCAACCAACCAACCAACAACAACAACAACAACAACAACAAAAAAACAAGGAAAAAAACCTTACACACCACACTCTTCTCTCTTCAGGTGAAGATTTTGAATACTCTGCTGGAACAGAAGACCAAAAGAAGCTGCTAAGGAGAGTTAAGAGACGGGAAAAGATGTTTACAGGTATTTAAAGGAAGGTGTATTTTTAAAAAAAGCTTTGTTCCAGTTGCTGCTGAATAACTGTGCACGAGCTATTCAATAGCACACAGTTGTTCCCAAGGTAACTCTAACTTCATTTTTTAAAACGTACAAGTGTCTTTCTTTTTTCCCTAAGAATGTGCAGAAAGAAGGTGTTACAGATGTTTCCACTAACAAGAAAAATTATCCTGCAGTAGTCCAAGATTTTTGTCAGGGAAGAATCCTACTCTTAAATGACAGCTTGTAGACAGGTATCACAGCATGAACACAGAACGAAAACTGCAATTTGTGCCTGTACTGAATAAGCCACCATAATCAGAGCCTATAACAGGCCTGGAAAAAATACTCTGAATTACAGAGACAGGGAATAAGAGTCAGCCATTTCCTAAGGTATGGCAGGCAGCAATAGGCCGGGCAATGATCTTACCTACAGCACACAGTCCCACAGCAACCCTAGCTGGGTGAGAGGAGTAGCGTGGTGGCAGCAGGTCTTATTGACAGCCCAGTAATCATCAGCCACAAGCAAGGTAACAAAGCACAGCTCAATCCAAGAAATCTAATAAATAAATAATAGTAATAATAGGACCACAACTGGAAACACGTACATCTGCAACTTAGTTCAGGAAATAATTGAAGGCCAGGCCTGTGATGCAGTGAAAACTCAATAACCAAAGTTATTAAGTTATTAATACTCTTTATTATGGCACTGCGTGTGCGAGGGATTGCTTGCCTAACACACACCAAGGGTTACTTCCAGTGTGCTTATATTAATGGAATATATACATATTCGTCTCACTTCCCCATAAGTCTCTTGCATATTCATTAGGTTTCAGAAGAATCATTAACATTGGTTCCTGCCCCTATTCAGATGTGTACTGGAGTCCTCAGGTGGTCATCCAGTGTGCTCTGGTAGTCTTTTGATGAAGGCCAGAAGTCTTCCTCACTGCTAAACTTCTGACCCTTCCTTTCTTTTGCAGACTTCAGCATTCCAGGCCAATTCTTGCTGGTTCTATTATTGTGCATGAAGTCTTCCCTTATCTTTAGAGCTGTCCTGTCCTAGTACTCCCTGCCTCAGCCCTGCCCCTGTGGGTGATATAAAGCACACAGCTGTGTTAGCGAAAACCTGCAAAATCAACATCCTTTACCTTGTTCCCTGTCTCACCTGAGTGTAAATGAGGCTTCTAGGTCCATGGGTGAAGGCCCCCGGCAAGGCTGGTCAGGACAGCTAGGACCTATTGCTGCACTCAGGGTCCTACAAACCTGTGCTTCAAAACACCAAGTCCATTTTGTAATTTGTGAGCAAAGTTGGTTAAATTTCTCAGTCACTGGTTCACCAATGTTATCATTTTACCATGAATCCGTCTAGTCTTACACACACAGATACACAAAAAAAAGGCTCCTGAAAGGCACAATTAATAAGGCATTTGTAAAATAAAACACTTGAAGTAGGCAGAGAGCTAAGAGAGCTAGTGTTCATTATCATACACAAAACGAGTCAAATGTCTCCCTGATTTCTATGGTAGTAAGCCCAATGAATGGGAAAATCAGAAATCTTAAAATCCTCATATTTTAATTTAGTGTGGCAACACCAGTATTAATCTACCTGGCTGCCCACATTTCTGATCCTAGGAAAGGATCCAGAAGTCTTGCACACAGGGATATCAACTACTGTGCTACAGATTCATAACATGAAATAAAATGTTTTCTTTTATATATAGTTTTTTTTTTCTCTCTCTTTTTTTTTTTTTTTCTTCCTTCAGTGTCTATCACAGTGAAGGCTCGCAATATTCCTGCTAAGTAGAAAAATAGGATTACTCTTATCTCAGCAGCTGGGTACAGTATAACACAGAGTATTTTATTTGAGGTCAAATGCTGAGCACAGGGTCACACACAAATCATGGGGCAAAGCAGCTACAAAATCCAACTGAAGTTCTGCCTCGCAGTTTGACATTTGATCTCCCTGACTAAACTTTACTGTAGCCTTCCACATGTACAGGGCTTTAAAATCAGTGCAGATCATCACCTATGCAAGCCATGTAGCCTTGTTCAATGACTTTCTCCACAGATGGATGTTCCTCCCATTCCACAGCTGTTGCAGTAGGATCGCTCGGAGGGTTCCTGTACTACTACTGCTGCTGACACCAACAGCGCACTGCAGACTGTCAGCAGGAAGGCCGCGTGCACAGCGAGGTGATCGGTCCTTGAGCCGGACTGGTGCTCAGTTTGTAGTGAAATAGGATTAACCTTCAAATCACAGTCTTGTCTTGCAGTACTAAACCTTGGGAGCTGGTTTTTAGTTTATGGTAACACTGGATAGTTGTCCACTGTGTGTGTTTTCTTGTTAAGTTTTCAAGTATCCCAGAGAGGGATGCATTACCGTTAAATACACACATTTTTCTGTAGATCAAATTCTACTGGAAGATCTTCACCTTCTAAGGAGATCTTTACCTTCACCGAATCTGAATTAATATCCTGGATATTTCTGGGACGTCTCTAACTTTGCTGTCTCAAGTCCCAATCCTGCCAGGTATCTGCCCTGGTTTTAGCTGAGATAATTTTCTTCATAGCAGCTGGTATGGTGCTACATTTTGGATTTATGATTAAAATAGTGGTGATGACATAGCCACGCTCTAGCTGCTGCTGAGCAGTGCTTACACCAAGACTTTTGTGCTTCCCACAGTGCCCTGCCAGCGACGAGGCTGCGGGTGCACAAGCAGCTGGGAGGGGACACAGCCAAGGAAAGAGAGCTGATCCAGGCTGACCAAGGGATGTTCCCTGCCATATGGCTCAGCAATGAAAGCTGGAGGGAAAGAAAGAGGAAGGGGGGAGGTGACGTTTGTGGTTATGGGATTTGTCTTCCCAAGTAATGTTACGCATGATGAGCCCTGCTTTCCTGGAAATGGCTAAACATCTGCCTGCCGATGGGGAGCAGTGAATGATTTCCTTAATTTGCTTTGCTTGCGTGCACAGCTTTCCCTTTACCAATTAAACTGTCTTAAACTATCTTAAACTATGAGTTCTCTCACTTTTACCCTTCTGATTCTCTCTGCAATCCCACTGGGGAAGAGCAAGTAAGTGGATGTGTGGGGTTCAGCTGCCTACCAGGGTTAAGCCACAACAGCACCAAATGCCTTCAACATCTGCATCCCACTGGTTCTAACACATGTGTGTAATGAACAATTTTCTGCGACTTTCAGTTTGCTGATCCCTCTTTGCTGATGGAAACACAGATGCCAAGAGCGGACAGAAGCCTCCAGACAGAAACATTTGCTGTTTTATCTTGCCAAGGCAAGATGAAAAATCATTGTTAGAGCTGTGTTAAGAATCATAGAATCACAGAATCATAGAATTGTTTACAGAATCACAGAATCGCAGAATGACTGAGGTTGGAAGAGACACGTGAAGACCATCTACTCCAACCCCCTGCCGAGCAGGATCACCTGAGCACGTTACACAGGATGGCATTAGGTTGAAAAGCCCTCCAAGATCATCAAGTCCAACCATTTATCCAACCATGGATTTAGGTAGAAAAGATCTCCAAGATCATCAAGTCCAAGCATTAGCCAAGTCTACTGCTAGATCGTGTCCCTCAGCACCAAATCTCTGTGTCTTTGGAACACTTGCAGGGCTGGAGACCCAACCACTTCCCCGTGCAGCCTGTTCCAATCTCACCAAGAGAGGGAGTTAGGAGAATACAATAAATCACTGACCTTTTAGAAAAGAATTTACTAACTTTTAGAAAAGGGGGAGCTGAGAGAGGAAGTTAGGGGAAGCTTATCAAGTAGAGGTAGAGTGATAGACAGCATAAAACCAGGATGCTCAAATTAATTAAAGCCTTGGGCCTGTTTACCAAGGCCAGTCTCCCAATAAGAGTGTGAGCGCATCTTAAGAAACTGGTAGAAACTGGTCCTGTGGATGGACAAGAGCCAAGGAGCAACTGAGTCTGTGCAGAGACAAGAGGTCAAGGAGTGGTGATGAGGAAGAGTCACCAACCTTCATCCCCACGACCCCCGAAGACCGCCACCAGAACACACTGTGTAGTGCAGCTGGGAGGAGTTGATGGAAATGACTCCTTGGCACTAATTTTCATACAGAGCGGGGACAGGTTATGAATATGTATTGGCGTAGTGTGAAACTTCATGCGTATGTGACTCCTTACAGCATATAACCAAGGCAAGTTGTCGTGCCAGGAGCGCACATTGGCGGAACCGCCCCCGTGCTGCAGGCACAGCGCAGCTCCTGCACAGCCTGCTGACCGGGGAGCCCGCTTTCCGCAAGCCCTCGCACCCCTCCAGTGACGGATCTTCCCTTAACCCCCCACCCTGGTGCCCCCCGAGGCCGTTTCCTCTCCTCTCCTCTCGTTGCCCCTCCCGCGGCAGCGCCGTCCCCGGGCCCTCCGCGCCGCCAGGGGCCGCGCTGCCGCCGGGCGCCCCCCGAAGATGGCGGCCGGGGCCGGGGCTGGGACCGGGATCGGGGCCGGGGCTGCGGGCGGGGACCGCGGGCGGCGGCGGGCGCTGGGCCGGGCGCTGGCGGCGGCGGCGCTGGCGGCGCTGGGCTGGCTGCAGGCGGCGCTCGGCCACGGGTGAGTGGCGGCCCTGCGGATCTCCGGGACCGGGAGGAGCGGGGATGGAGGGGAGAGGGGGGAGACAGAGAGCGGCGGAGCCGAGCCGAGCCCAGCCGAGCCGTAACGCCCGGGCGCTGTCGTTGCAGGGCTGCCCCCGGCCCCCGCCTGCTGCAGCCGTACCCAGCCGGGCGGCACGGCCCCCGCCACCCGCACCGCGCGGTGCGGGACTGCCAGCCCCTGCGGCA